AGTATTTCCTAGATACCTATTATGAGTTTTTCTGCATAAAAACACAAATAACATTACATTTTATATACTATCTCACGACAGAGTTACAGTTCAACCTCAGGAGACTTAGTCCATTCAAATCAAATGATTTCCTGCCTATCATAAGGCAAATCTGGCAATTCTCAAACACTAAGTGTAAACACAATTCAGTACAATCAACCCTCAAATTTGTTTGAACCTCATCATGGTTTCAACCTCAAAATTAGCAGCTTGGCTTGAAGTTTACAACTGAAACAGAAACCCATTTTAGTCAAAATGGTCTAACTTCATGTTCCTGATCAACTTGCTAATCACAACTGTAAAAAGAAGCAAAATCCACTCTTTAGGAGTTCTTCCTCCTCTCTTCAGTGCTGTGTGTACTGTAAAAGCTGATGCGACCTGGAACTTGACCACCAAGACAGAACGGGACAAAAGCATAGGTAAGGCCTTTAAAATCCAGCACCCAGCGATCCTATCCCAAGCTGTTGAATATCCTCACATTTTCTTAAAGATCTCTCTGGAAGAGAGGGAACAACAAGGTAAAACTAAGACCACTGAGCTAAAAAATGAAAACTGAAGCAAGGGATAAGTAGCTGCTACTGAACTACTACTACTAGGAAAAATCTCAACACTTAACTCCAGTCTGTCAAAAAAGGCCAAAGTTTTAATAGCTATCACAAAATACAAAAGCTGACTTAAAGTAAAAACAACCAAAAAAGTGGTGATTTTAGTCAATGTGCCCACAGTGCAGATACCCTTTAATGCTAATTAATGAGTCAGAGAGAAAATGCCCTTCAGATAATTAGGATTGCAACATCTCCCAAACAAAAGTATTTGTTTAGTCCCTGAGAGCAGTGCTGATCTGGGAAAAACAAATTCAATTCAATTAAAAAAATAATAAACTTAAGCCTTCAGACTAGATGCACGGATGTACTCACAGCTATTGTACAGGAAGTGAGCTTATGTTAGGCAAGGGGGTCCAGCAAAATTGCTGACTGACCGAAAGAGGTGGTGGTGTAGACCAGCCTCTCCAGATGCTTCTATGTTCTTGCATTCTTCCTTCAGTGCCTGCTTGCCACCGCTGTTAAAGTTCCATCACTTGCCAAAGTCACAGATCTCAAACATTATACCCTCTACAATGAAACTAACTCCCTTACACATACCTGCACAAACCTCAGCGACAAAAGTTCATGGAGTGCACTAGAGTATGCAGAAGCAAGGAAGATCATGTTTTTCTATATATCATCTTTAGGATTCTCAGATTTCTGAAAGCAAAAAAAAAAAAAAACAACTGGAAGACTAAAATCAACTTTTATCAAACATCTACTATGGACTCTTTAAAAAGTACTAGAGATGTAAAACATTTAAGCATATTTTTATATGTGTTTATTCACAATGAAAGTTAAAATCCAAAAGGCCTGAGTGGCACAGTCCCTTAAGCGACCATCTCTTGATTTTGGCTCAGGTCATGATCTCAGGGGTCGTGAGATCAAGCCCAGCATCAGGGTCCACACTGGGCATGCAGCCTGCTTAAGATTCTCTCCTTCTTCTACCCCTCCCTGCCTCTAAAAAAAAAAAAATTCCAAAAGGCATAAAAGTCTCCACATTCCAAAGTCTTTTAATCAAATATCTTAAAGACAGTCTCACTTTCTTGTTTGATAATTGTTATATGAGCAAAGAAGTCTAAACTTCACTTACACATTTTCTATCAGAGTTCTAATCTCTGAAGACACTTCTAAGAGTTAATATTAATCCTTATGGTCATAGTCTACACTAATTATTCAAAAACTGATTGTTATACAAGATCTGATTTATTAATTTAATTCTCCAGATCCAAACTGAAGACATTAATAAGCAATCTATTACATACAATGTAGATAGTAAGCAAATTGTGAAATCTGCTTATAAGAAATGATGAAGAATTTCAGGACTTTAACAATGTTTTTCTTTTCCATCTATTCGAATTTTTATATTACCTCAAAGCATCTTCAGGGAATTAGGCCCTGGTCAGCCTCTTAACTACAGTGTAACTTTTATTAATTTTTCTAGCTGAGATTTATTAACCCTGAAATAGACACAGAAATATACACAGACAAGGCTGCCTGTTGCCTCCAAGTCTCAAAGAAATTCCCCAAAGAGCAAAAGGAAAAGCCTTCCAAAGACCATGTCAGAGGTAGGCTGTTCCTCCAGGGTGGGAAAAATGGAAGCACCTTGAGTTGGGCCTACTGCCACCCCAGAGTCTGGCCAAGTGGTGAGTAACACAGAATTGGAGGAGGAAGGGAAAAGAATGAAAGCCAGAGTAACAGCAAATAGATTGCTCTCCATCTAGGATGGCTTTAAAACATATCTTGCTTACCAGATAACATAATTAAAACATTTAAACATTTTAAAACGTATCTTGCTTACCACATTGCCTTAAAGAAACTAAAATCCTAAATCCTAAACTAAAATTCATGGAAATCAATCCCTTTCTAGATAAATCATTCTACTAGACACCAAAAACGATATATAGTGATAGACTAGCTTGCTTCAGATTGACCAAAGAAATGTAATATATTGCAAGCTAGTTTTGTTATGTGTGGTGTTCTCATCAAATTAAGGTTTACATGGGATTTAGAAGTAATGGAAAAAATTAAATCTGACTCAAAAGGCTGGATGCTGTGCTGCATAATAGTTTTCATTACAATGTTTAGCTCTAAAGTGAGCAACAAGACATTCCAGGAAAGGTATAAATCTCAAGTGTTAAACGTTTCAGAAAAAGGAGCACACTCGTTAGAGCTTCATAATGAAACTTCTTTACAAGAAAAAAAAAAAAAAAAAAGTCATAAACTAAGGAACCAGAGAACAACATGCTCTATCTTCCACATCAGATCTTTTCTGCAGGCAGACTGGGACCTAAAAAGTAGATAAAGAACTCTAAGAGTGTAGTATACTGGCTAGAAGCCTAGACTCCAAGGGCCATCTGTTCAAATCTCAGCTTTTAGCTGTGTGACCATGGGCAAGTTAATCTCTCTGTGCCTCAGTTTCCTCATCTACTGGGTGGTGGGGATCGAGTTTGTCCTGTAAGACACATAGGTTGATGTCAGGCATGTAAGAGGTTTACAGAGTGCTTATTCTGTCTGTTTGGGGATTCAGTGGTTCTCCAAAACTAAATCAGCAAAAAAGTGCTTTCTTCCTGAATCGAAAATCCAGTCCTAAAAAATCTGAGAATGTCAACTTTGAGCATAAAAAAATCCACCTTCCAAATCCTCTCCCCTTGCACACAAAACAGAAAACAGACAAGAGCCTTCTCTTCCAGCAGCCACTGTCATTTTTCATCAAACACATTCTGCTCTATCCAGAACTTAAGCCCCCTTAGGAGGACTAAGGCTGGATATTAAAATATTGGAATTAACTTTGCTTAAGATTTCCCAGTAACTGAATGAGTCACTCACTTCTTTAGAAACAGTAAAATGTCAAGGTTGCCAGAGAACCCCAGCCCCAGATGTTTGCATAAATCATTTCCAAGTGATCATCAAGTCAAAGCCAAAGGACATTATTCAAGATAACAGCTTAAGTAAAATATATCAGCTTTTATGATTTTACCTGTAATGAGGAAAATTCTGAAAATGTGATATGGGGTGGGGGAGGGAATCACAGCAAGTTTAGCGGCCAAATTATACATGTTAGGCAGGGCTTAGAACTCCTTTTTCTATGGCTTCAGAGGGTTTGCCCCATTTTAAACTTTTACTCAATCTCAGGAAGGCACTGGACAAACTATAAAGTCAAGATTTAAAGACATCCCATAGTGCTTATCTCACTGTATTTCCTAATTTTGACACGCGTTTACAATATTTTTAATACCTTTCACCTGCAAAATATTTCGAGGGCTCTGTACTGATGACAGGATCCACGAAGAGGTTTTTTTTGTTTTGTTTTGTTTTGTTTCACTTTCAGAATTCTGGTGAAGTTAGTGGTTTAGTTTCAATTGAATTTAAGCCTTTTGCCTTAATACATCACAAGAACAAATGGCAAGGATACTCTCTGGTCACTTACATTGTCACAAAAGAAAGAAAAACCCCGTCAGCTTGTTCAATATGTCTGAGTCAAGTAGTTGTTAGATCAGCTTGTCACGGTTTTGAGTTCTGCCGGTTCATTCATTAGAGAATACTATACAACACCCAGTTTTACTAAAATTTCTGAAGTGTACAGGTCATGGGCAAAGAACTTGAAACGAATCGCACACGCGGCACAGCATATTTCTAAACAGCCGACTGTCTCTGTTTGCTTATTTTTAGTAACTTTATATAAAGACTTAAGACGGGTGGTTTCCCAACTCGATGGAGAATTTGACCACTGGGCGCAGGACTGAGCGCCCCACAGCTTCCGGCTGGAGTATAACACGCGCTTCCCTACTGGGCTCCCACGTCTGCTCCAAACAAACCCTATGTAATAGCTGAAGAATGACGACACTAAAATCAACCCTACAGATTCACATCTAAGAGGTCTGCAACACGTAATAAACTTCTGCTTATTTCTCGAGAGACAGTGGGGTGAAAAAACAGACCAGACAGGCTCTGCCTGATCAATTTCCGCGACTGGGGGCGCTCGGGGGGGGTCTGTGCAGCTTAACCCAGTGTGGGCCGAGGGGCTGCCTAACAGTGGTAACCCGGCGCTGCTCTCCAACCGGCAGGTGCTCGAGACCATCCCAACAGGCCCGAATGCGAGTGCGGGAACATGGCCACTGCCCCTGAGCGCGATTCCGCCACCGCACGCTGCCCGGCACTTTGTTAACTCGGCCGCCCGGGAGGAGGAGGCTTCCCGGGTCGCGGTCACCGCCGTCCGAACGCTGCAGAGCCCCGGCTGGAGAAGGCTTGGATCCTCCTCCAGTTCGTCCTCGCCCTGCTCCGGCGCGGAGGCTCGGCAGGAGGGAGAGGTCGCGAAGCAGCGAGGAACTACGGGCCCCCACGCCTACCCTCGCAGAGCCCCACGCCGGTGCTTACCTGGGGAAAAGAGCCCTCGCGGCGCGGGCTCTTGGGGTAGTCTAAGTGACCCCGGTCCAGCATCAGGTAGAGCGAGAAGATCACCACACAGAAGATCGCGCTGCCGAACACGGTGAACTGGCGGCTTAACTTCATTTTTCCTCGATAGACTCGGGGCCAAGACACTGTCCTCACCGAAGAAGGAGGCGGACTGTGGACTCCTGCAAGCGGCCGCCGGAGGCTCCCTGCTCCCGGGCTCCTACTCTCTGCGCTTCTGGCTGCGGGTGCGGATCCCGACCGCGCTCCGCACCTTGCCTCCCGCGCCACCACACGCCCCCCGCCTTCGCCCGGGCCCACCGCCCTCCCTGGGGTCGGGCGTCCCTCCTAAGGCGGGACCCGCCTGCAGCCCGGAAGGGGCTCCCGCAAACTTGATCTCAAGCTCAGCGCCCGCACCCGGCAGCGTGCGCAAGGCAGGCAGAGAAGAGGTCGCTGTCCGGACTTCCTGCCACCGCCGCCCCGACCGAGTCAGCAGGAAAAGTTTTCTCGACGAGGGCAGGCGTGTCCCCCTCACCCAGGAGGTGCGGGATCAGCGGCTCTGGGGTCGACAGCACCGAGCTAGGTCCGAAAAGACTAGGGAAAAGGAACAGGGTCGGGAGGAGCCGGGCCCCACAACTTAGCGCCGGGACGGCCGGACCCGCCCCCGCGGCACCGCCTCCGCCAGAACGCCTTCCTGCTGCTGCCGGCGGCGCGGCCGCCGCCGCCGAGGCCAGGCCGGGGTGCACCCTGGGCGAGGGGACGAACGGATACGGCAGGAGTTTCCTCCGAGCGCGCGTCCGCCCGCCGTCCTCTCCCGCGCCCCCGGCGCCCCTTCCTCTCTCCTCCCGGACCCCGGCTGCGCGAGGAGGGCGCAGGGGGCGGGCGGCGGCGGCGCGCGGAGGAGGAAAAGGAGAGCAAGGAGAGGAGCGTCCCCGGAGAGAAGCCCGCTCCAGCTGCAGCCGCGAGTCGCCTTCCTCCTTTCCGCCCCGTAAATGCGGAGATGGCGGCGGCAGCTGCGAAAGGAAGCGCCGGTTCTCCAGCGCCACTCGGCGCTCCTACACCGCCCGCCACGAGCAAGAGGAAACAGCCGCCGCGAGGCGGCTGCTGGGTCAATAGGCGCCCGCAGCCCCGAAGCCGAACAGGCGGCTGGCCCCGCCCCCTCTCGACGCGCCGGGATGGGGGCGGGGCCTCCGGCGCCCAATCGCAGTGCGCCGTCCATCGGGCCCGCCCCGCGCCCGCCTTCCTGAGCCCAGGCGGAGAGAAGACCTCAGACGGCTTTTGTGAACTGGCAGGCAACCTGGGTGGAGGTGAGGCCCTCAGAGGCCTTCAGGCGCCAGCAGCCCCGGTTCTACAGGGGTGAGCTTTCTCCCCACTTCCTTTTCACTGCCCAGGTTTCCTGTCCTTGAGGACCCGGGCCTGGCGTGCCTGGGACGGCAACTCGGTGAGGAGCTGTAGAGATAGAGGAGAAAGGGGCTTTGCGTTCTGCCCAGACTCATCTTTTTATGGCACGAGAACCAGGGAGCTTTTGGTGACCTCTTGGTGAAACCTGAGGGTAAGGAGACTGCCAAACGACAGCTGGCTACAGAGTCTCTGAGTGGAGCCTAAGAAGTGATGCTTGTGCGGGTTATTTTCTGTTGCCGCGCTGTTCCAAATCCGCCCTTTTTGACTGCTCTGTGAAAATGCATCTGAGCCCTTTTAAGTTAAGTTTTCCTTTGCCCGCAGCCTCTGAAGCTTTGTCAGTAGAGGGCGCTGAAGAGACATTACAGGAAGAAAAGGGATTTTCTTGTGGGTTTTGGTGTACATGTAGGCAGGCACTTAGAGCGTACCTGGCTTTCTCCACTGCCAAGCTCCAATAATGCTTGGAGGTCAGAAGTTTTCCCCTTCATCCCTAACTCTAGTGCTTCTGTGGTGGAGGCGCTAAGGTGAGCCACTACCCCCTGAACATCTTTCCGGGCTCTCTAGAGACAAACTTTGTAGTAAGATCCACAGGGCATATTTCTGCAGGTGTTACTTCTCTGCCATTCAGTGAGAGGACTCTTCCCTCTCCCATAAAGTCTGGAGGAGTTGGAGACCCTTCTTGGGGAACGCTAGTTACCAGCCCAGGGGCTAGTTATAAGGTTAGCTCCTTATAACTGCTATTTGTATATTCTCGAGGGTTGTCTTCCCACTAGTGAATCTCTCATTAATTCTCTGTTATAGTTTAAAATGGTTTTTGCTTAAGCCTTTTTATTTTTATTAAGCTTTACCTGTAACCCCCAAGAGCTAGCCTTGGGAAGATGGGGTTAGGAATTTGGTTTGATTGGGCTTTTGGCCTGAGCTTAGCGCTGAACTCTTTGCCAAACGGAAATGAGATAGGAGTGATTCATGGCACACAGGGCCTTCAAATTAATCAATTGCCTGTGGCTGATTGTGATTGAAGGACCAACTGAAGCATGTGCCTGGAGGGGGTGGTGCCCAAGTGACAGTGAAACTTAACTGTTATGGCTGTACGGTGACTATAAGGATTGTGATGTGAGATGGATTCTTTTGAGTTCCTTTGAATACCTACAATGAGGAATGACAAGCACAGATCAAAGTTATGGCACGAGAACCAAAGTGCTTGTGTAACCATTCTAAAAGAGGCTCTTATTGTAGCAACAAAAACGGTGTCTCTGAAAATTGAACACAAAATTTTAATTTTGGGGTTACTGAATTACAGTTTGGGGTTGCTTTGAATTCACAGATATGCCAAGTTTCTCAAGTAAAAGTTCGGGTATTGATGATTAAATAATAGGGCTTCAAAACTCAGAATAGGTTGGACCCAGATGAAACTGGCAATCTTGAACCATTAAGTTATTCTGTGCCTCTCTTACCAATGTCAGTAGGTTGCCCTCCAGTGTCTGAGGAGGTAGGCTTCCTCTGCTTGAAAACTTTTTGACAACCCCACCTTGGGACAATGCCTTGAGAGGGAATTCACGTTCTCCTCACAACCCACCACAATCATCCATTGTTGCCATTATACTCTTAACTAGGGTCAAATCTCAGCATGCTTCTGGGGGATAGGTGCACACTGTGGTGAAGGAAGAAATAAACACCAAAATTGATACATAGGCAGAAGAAGTAATTTACCTTGTTGATACTCTACCTATGTTGATACATAGGTAGAGAACTGGAGAACATGTGTGGGAATGGCTTCTAAAGGTGTTAGACTATGGAGGATGGAGTAGAACACTATATCGAGCCAAATTTATTATTCTAGCGTTAATTATATGTTTCAACTTACACAGCTAGAGGTGATTCTAACAGCTCACCTGGTTGATTGATGGAAACTTGGACCCATTTTTTTAGTTTAAGGTGCCCAAGTTTCCCAGACACGTGGAAAGGGGAATCCAAAGATTTAGGGAAATGTTATTCTGTATTTACCATATACGACCTGCATACCTTTCCTCAACTGCATTCCATCAAAGGCCCAGAGACACTCCTTTCACTGAAAAATTGAGAACTAAATTAGAGGAAGACATGTGTCTTTGAAAATCACTATGGATGTTCCCCTCTGTAGGCCATGTATGACTACAGAGCATGCCACCAGTAAGATGGACTTTTTTATTTCACTGGAGATGACAGGACCTGAGAATAGCAGAGGACAAGCAGTGCTTAGGCACTAAATATGATGTGGGTACATTTGCCTTAAAGGGCAGCAGGTATGTACAGTCAGATGCCTTACCCCACAGAGATGCCCTAGGAAAAAAGTAGATAGCCAACCTAATTTTTACTGCTTGATATTTATAATAGCAAAAGCTCTAGCCCAGGTAGGTAAAATCTAACTTTAGTCAGCAGAGTGGACAATCACAGCCTCTCATGCGGTATTCAGACCTAAACCAGTTCACAGACCAAGAACCCTTTGACTGAAGGAGAGTCTCCTTCAGGAAGGACCTTGCACAGATCACAGCAGTAGTACCAGTGATGGACCATCAGATCATGTTCAGATTTCTGCCATTATGGACAATGTCATAATAAACATCTATTTTTTAATCCTTAAAAAAAGTAAAATATCTCAATGTTTCATATTGCTTATATTTGGAAATGATATTTAGATATAATGGGTTAAATACATTATATAAAATACATAATTTTACCAATTCTTTAAAAAAAAAAAGGAAAGACTTGTACCACTGCTACAATACCCATTTTATTTTTTTTTTAAAGATTTTATTTATTTATTTGACAGAGTGAGAGAGATCGCAAGTAGGCAGAGAGGCAGGTAGAGGGAGAGGGGGAAGCAGGTTCCCCGCTGAGCAGAGAGCCCAATACGGGGCTGGATCCCAGGACCCTGAGATCATGACCTGAGCCGAAGGCAGAGGCTTAACCACTGAGCCACCCAGGTGCCCCTACAATACCCATTTTAAGTGTTCACCCAAGCCTTCCCCAAAGAGCTGTGAAGCCATCTACTAGAGTGACAATGTGCTGGAAAAAAATGAAATGTGCAGATCTTTTGAGGTTTACTAGACACTGGATCTGAACGGATGCTAATGCCTAAGAATACAAAATGCTACTTTTATGCTCCAACCACAGTTAATCTTGGTCAGTACTTAGATAAGTTTTAGCTTATGTTGGTTCTTTTAGTTCATTTGGTCCACACATGAACTTTGTAGTTATTTTCTACTAACTTTGTAGTTAATTTCTAACTAAGAGTATCCCCAAATAGGCTTTGTAACCCATGAGGTGGAGGCCATTATAGCAGTAAGGAGCCACGTGGGACACTCCTGGAACTTTCACTGTCTTCCAAAATCTTAAACCAGAAACAATACCACCAGAAAGGACTTGGAAGAAGCAGGGGTGGTGATACCTATCACATTCCCATTTAACTCACCAGTTTGGCCACTGCATAAGTCACATGGATCTTGAAAAATGTGGATTACTGTGAACTTAACCAGGAGGTAATTCCGGCTGGGGTTGCCGTTCCAGGCGCAGTATTTTTGCTGGAACAAATTAACACAGTCCCTGCTGCTTGTTATACAGCTACTGATTTAGCTAATGCCATCTTCTCTATACTTATTTATAAAAACGAGCAGTAGTTGGCTATTACTTAACAGAGCCAATAGTTACGTTCACATTGTTAGTGCAGGGACACATCAATTCTCCTTAATATAGTCTACAGAAATGTTGATCATCTTGACATTCCACAAAACATCACACTGGTTCATTTTGGTTGTTCATTATGACAACATTATGCTAATTGGACCTGATGAACTGGAAGTAGCAGATATTTCAGATGCCTTAGTAAGATGTATTTGAACTAGAACTCAGAAGAAAACCATGAGTATGAGATGATAACTCTAAAGAGGTCCTGGCAGGTCCCCACCTTTCGGGTGGGACAAGTTCTGGGACGGTATAAGCTATACAAAACAAAACAAACAAAAAACCACTGAGAAGTGAATCCAAGCAAGTGATGTGGGTTAGAAATGATGTGGATTGGAAAAAAGAATAAAGTGATTGCTGCAGAGACTGGTCATACCAATCATGTGGCTATGGAAGGAAATGAACAGCCCAGCTAGTAGGAGAGGAACACTCTAAACCCTGGGAAGTCAGGAATTGGGGAAGGAATCATTAAGCCTCTCTTGGCTCTCACTTAGAGGACACCTGTCCTGGCCTATCATCTCAGAATGCCTTTGTAACCTTGAATACCCATTCTTAACTTAAATCCTAGACTCCTAGATGTAAGGACTTAGATCCTTAGTTTTTAGACCTTAAACTAAGGACTGTTGCTCCTTCAGGTGGATGACTTCTACCTGAAATGACAGAACAAGATTAATTTTCTGGATATTAATGTGGTTCACCCCTAGTCTGGTATTCTCGTCAGTCCCCTATGGTCTCTCCTTCTTGTCTAAGAAAAAAAGTTCTCTTGT